GATGATAACTTGGACCCTTGGCTGTAGCAGCAGGATACTGAGAACAAATTGAATTTAAGAGATGTTTAGGAGGCCGAGGTAACGCGCCTCATCATTGTTGCCCACACACTAAAGCCATCACTTGCATACCTTTGTACATCTCCTCCCCACCATCCCAAATATCTTCCCTTTGTCTCTCTGGTAAACAAAAAAACAAATCCTCCCAAATCTTTCAGGCATAGTCCTTTGTAGTTGCACACACAAAGGGGTTCACAGTAGGGGATCAATAAATGTTTCTTTCTTCCTCAACAAGTCTTCTCTTAAAGCTTGAAATGTAAGCCACTGAAATTTTGGGATTGTTTGTTGCTGCAGCACCACTTAGCTTATTCTGACTTATATAGCTGGAAGAAAGGACATTAACAGGGAGAGACATAATGCAAAATGTAGGATTAACAGGTTGCAGGATTGTTGGAGTCAGAATATGAGAAAGAATAACTGGAAACACAGAAAGTGATGCTGAGAGAATTAGATTCATGGCATGGACTAGGGTATGACCATGGGAGTGAGTGGCTAAGGACAGAACTTTGAAGGAAGTCAAGAAACTGAGAGGACAGAGTGTTGGAAGGATCTTCCCTCTGTGTGTACTGAAATTCTGAAAGATTAAGACAGTTAAGCAATGTTAGAGATAGTGACATCCAGAAGCTAAAAATCTTCCCTGCAACCAAATTATGAACACCATGAAGACAAGCACTTTTGTGTTCACTTTTCTGCCCCCAGTGCCTGAAACAATGCCTGACACAGAGAAGGCACTTAGGAAATATTTGCTAAATGAATGCCTGGATGAATAGAGTGGTCTACCACATACTTTGACAAGTAAATCTAACTCAGGGAAGAAAGCTCCTTCCAGCTCTTGCTCAATTCTATTTTGCCGCATTATTTCTTTCACAGTGACTCTTTGTCCAACCTTGAGTCTGTTTTGTTGATCTATCTTGTTGTTGCCAGAAATCTCAAGGAGTTACTTTTTAAACTCATCCCCTGTGACCTGCCTGCTGGCAGCTCTAGTAAATACCAACCCCCATGTTACCAAACACTGGCACTGCTCTCTCCTCTGCCTTCTCCCTTGTTCCCACATCCAACTCCTTTGCCAAGCGTCTTCCATTCTTTTTCCAGACATATCTCAAATTCATCCCCTGCTCTTCACACCACATTTACTTCCCTACTCAGGTTCTCATCATCCAAGAGATGGCCTACAGCAACAATCGCCTCCTAATTTCCTTGCTTTATTTCATTGCTTCTAATCCCTCTGTGTTAGTTATCTATTGTTGCACCAAAAATTACCTTAAAATTAGGTAAAACTTAAAACCACTAACATTTATTATCTCAGTCTGGGTGTGGCTCAGCTGGGTCCTCTGGCTCAGGGCCTCTCACATGGCTGCAGTCAGCGCTGCAGTCATTCCAAAGCTTGCCTAGGGGAGGATCCAATTCCAAGCTTAATCACACAGCTGTTAGAAGCCCTCAAGTCCTTGCTGGCCATTGATCAGAGTCTTCAGTTCTTTGACACACAGGCCTATCCACAGAGAAGCTCACAGATGGCTGATGTTTTCCCTACGAGCAAATGAGCAAGAGAGCAAGAGAGGGTGCCAAGACAGAAGCCACAGCCTTTTTGTAATCTAGTCTCATAAAGGAAAACCCATCACTTCTAACATATTCTATCCATTAGAATGGAATCAATAAACCCAGTCCATGCTCAAGGAGAGAGAATTATCCAGGGTATGAATACTGAGGTGTGGGATCACTGAGGACATCTTAGAGACTGCTTACCACACCCTCTTCATTGCCTCTGCGTGTGCCATCTAAAGTGCAAAGCTGACCTCTCTTGCCTGCTCAGAAATTCTGATAACCTGCTGATACCTCCATGACATAACCCTTCATATGTCCTCAAACTCCATTCCATTCTCATCTTCCATCCTGTACTCTAGTTCCCAAGAAAGGACTCTGAATCATGACATCCCTATTGCCCTGTACATGCCATTACCCTGGTCTGGAATGCTTCCCTCAGCCTCCCCATTTCTACCTGACCAGCTTCTACTCACGCACCAAGACCCACTGCTTCTGCCAAGTCTGTCCTAACCCTAGCAGGCAGTTTTGTCTATCTGTAATCAGACCTCCTTTGGTGCCCTGTGCTTTCCACTATCAGAGCTCTTACCACATCAAATCACAATTATCTCCACTTGAATATCTCCACAGGATCTTGAATTTATAATAACGTTCAGAAGTTGATTTTCCATCAGTGGGATTAGCAGGAGACAGATCTTGGAGCCATCCATTCTGACTTCTCCCAGAGGCCTTGCCCCTGGTCTAAGGGACAAGTTATAGAACCTCACTAACTTCATTAGAGTTATTAAAATGCGCAGACAGCAGCCAATTGGTAATAGGGTGCTACTAAATGGACACAGTGCTATAAAGACAATTATGGTCGTCACAGACTTCCTTTAAACACAGGAAGAGGGCTGGGTGGGTATAGTGATTGAGAGGTCCCTCAGCTTAGGCAGAGACGCTTCCCAATCTGCCTTCACTAGTTGCTATCTGTTCTAGGTAAGTTACTTCATATCTAAGCCTCAATTTCCTAATTTGTAAATGGAAATAACTTACGTGGTTATTATGGTTACCATGTACCAGGTGATGTTGAGTGTTTTTTAAATGTTAATTATTTAATCCTTAGAACTATGGTATAAGGTAGGTACTATTATCCCATTATTTTACAGACGCACAAACTGGGCAGAGAGCAACTTGGGCCAGGATACACAGCTAATAACCGGCAGAATCAGGATCCCAACACAGGCAGTGAGGGGTCGGAGTCCGTGTCATAACATTCACCTCACAGGCTTGGGTGGATTAAATGAATAATGCGTGAGGGCGAAGGCAGGGCCTGGTAGATGGCAGGTGCTCTTGATTATTTTGAAATGTAAAACTCCTCGCCCTGGAAACCAAGAACTCCTACAAGACCCCTCATTTTCTGCGTGAACTCAGCAGGTGTCTTCTCTCGGGTATGAAATGGATGGTTGAGGAGAACAGCCGAGACGAGTCTCCCCAGAACCGCACAGCCTTTCGGTTCTTTCACTCGGAACTTCCCTAAGTGGAAGCGGAAGTAGCTGATGGGCAAAGGAACCCACTTCCGGCGTTATGCTGGGCCTTTCTAGGCTGGCGGAGACCAGATCGGCCCCTTCGCAAGCCGCCTCCGTCCCGGGTTGACCCCTTTCCCGTGGGAGCCCCGCCCTCGGCGAAGGTTCGGTTTTCCATTGGTGAAGGTTGCGGAGGCGGAGCTGCGTCTTTACGTCTTTCAGCCAATGGACTCCGCCGTTTCTTATCACTGTTTGGTAAAGTCGGTCCCTCCTCCGAGCCGGCAGAGGGCGCAAGAGTGCGTGGCTTGAAGCTTAGGCAGCTCTTGGCTATGGAAGTGACGTCACGCCACCGGAAGTCCACTGCCTCAAAGACTAGCGGCTGTGGTGAGGGATTCTGGAGGCTGGAAGCTGGGAAATTGTAGTTCCGCCAAGCGCTGGTTAAGAGTGTGGTTTCCACCTCTGACAGCCTCATATGCTCGGATGTGGAAATCGAGGCCCCTAGAGGAAGGGGCTTCTTGTGTTCACTCAGCGAGAAACAACCCCAGACCGGCGCGCTTCTCACGTGACTCCTCAAAGCCGAAGAACGACCCTTTGGTGGGCGTTGCTCTGCCTGAGGAATCCCTGAGGCAAGACTCACAGAAATATCCCCATTCCTCAGACGGGGAAAATGAAACCCAGAGAGGGACGTCCAGCGTACAGGGACTTGCCCAAGTAGGTTGCTGTACTTAGCAAATATAAATGCAGGATGCCCAGTTAAAGTTGAATTTCAGATAAATAATGAGTAACGTTCCTGCAGCCAAAGAGCTCACATTCTAGAAGGGCTGACAGGTGATACACAGACAAACACATTATGGAGTATGTTGAGTGGTGATTGATGCTATAAAGAAAAAGAAAATAAGGGAAAAGTGAGAGACTGGGAAGTGCTATTTTCTGAAGGATGATCTGGGAAGGCTCCACCTAAAGAAAACTTTTTTTTTGTTCCTGGAGACAGAGTCTCCCTCTACTGCCCCCGCTAGAGTGCAGTGGTATCATCATAGCTCACTGCAACCTCAAACTCCTGGGCTAAAGCGATCCTCCTGCCTTAGCCTCCTGCTTAGCTGGGACTACAGGTACATGCCACAACGCCTTGCTGATTTTTCTATTTTTAGTAGACACGGGGTCTCTTACTCAGGCTGGTCTCGAACTCCTGACCTCAAGCGATCCTCCTGCCTCGGTCTCCCAGAGCGCTAGGATTACAGGCGTGAGCCACTGCACCAGGCCTAAAGAAAACATTTGAGCAGAACCTAAATGAAGTGAGTGAGCCCCACAGATAACCCAGGAGGATTGTTCTAGAGCGAGAGGGTGGTAAATGCAGGCCCAACAGTGGAGTGTCTGAGGAACAGAGAGGAGGCCAGTGTGGCCGGGATCCACACTGAGTGAGAGGGAGGAGTGGGAATCAGAGAGGTAGTTGGGTGAGGACTTTCAGTTTCATTCTTGGTGCAGTGGAATCACAAGAGTGACAGCATGAGGCTCTCGAGGGTGCACTGTGGAGGGGAAGGGGGAAAACGGACCAGCCCTGAGTGGGAGAGGATGGACACTCAATGTGGGGCAGTGGCAGGCTTGTTAACCTCCAGGAAGGAGTGAAAGAGAGAAAAAGTGAATGAGCACATAGGAGGAGCTTCAGGAGGTACAGGTGTGTTGGGGGGCTGGCGGTTGGGAGGAGGCTGTCCCTCAGGTGAGGTTCCAGGGCAGGATGGGTCTGTGAGAGGCCAGCAGGGCAGGAGGGGCCAGAGCCAGTGCATTGCTTAGAGAGGAGCTCAGAGGAGGCTGTGCCTGTACAGCCAGGGTAGATTCCCCTGTAAAGACCTAAAGCTCCTTAACGTTCTCCACATTTGATGCTTCTTTTTTTCTTTCTCTTTAGAAAAAGATGGAAATAAGAAACAAAAACGAAAACTGAAAAGAGAAGACTTAACTATTATTCTCAAGTAAGTCACATCAAGTTCTGTGTATATCTTTCTGTGAAGTTTCACATTCTCACCACAAATGGAACATGAAACTCTAGAAAGGCTCCAGTGAGAAATTTGTTCAGACTCCATGCCAGCTACTGTCACTTCAAAAGCAGTAAAAATCAGAGTCCCCACCCACCCCCAGTGAACCTGCCTCAGATGAGGGAATGAGTTACACCTGGGTCTCGGTGTAGCCAGCTGTGTCTCCTCAGGGCTCCCACACCTTTGGCAGCAGATGCCCGGCTCCATCAGAAAGCCTGTTTGTCCCCCCTCCTCAAAAAGAAGTACGGGCGAGTCCATATCTGCTCGGAGATCTGAAATGGAAGTAATCTCAGAAAGAGTCTGATAGGGAGCTGTAAAACATGGCTTTGGTGGATCACAGAGGGGGCAGTAGAGCAACCCTTTCTGATTGCTCTGAGTCTCGATGTCTTGAGCTTCCAGCCTATTTATTGTCAAAGTGTCAGAAACTAGGCCCAGCCTCGAAAGGGAGACACCCCAGCTTTGGGCATGCACCAAGTTCACTCTAAACACGTGGCACATTGCTCATTGGATGACCCCAAAGGCACAAGCAGGTCCCAGTCCTGGCTGAGATACTGAAGCAGGATGTCCAGGCTAGCCCAGAGAGAAGCCCAAGTGAAGATATAAAAGCCATTGTAATGAAATATCTGGAATAAGCACATCCATAGAGATGGAAAATAGATTAGTGTTGCCAGGGGCTGGGGGGAAGGCAAAATGGAGAGTGACTGCCAGCAGGTATAGGGTTTCTTTCTGGGGTGGTGAATATGTTCCAGAATTGATGGTTGCACAGGCCATTGACTTCTATACTTTAAAATTGTGAATTTTATAGTGTGTGAATTATATCTCAAATTTCTTAATTGCAGAAGAAAAATCTTTAGGGTTCCCTGCAGAAGCTGGGGGAACTGTGAAATCTGAACTCCTTTGCTCAGCAGCTCACACACCACAGGTGCATAGCTGGGGACCCTGGCAGTGTGAAGGAGCCTTTGTCCTGATAAGCACTGTCATCTGAGGGGACGTCAGGGCTGTCAGCCCTGGACACAGCAGTACTCTGTGGCCAACCCTGTTCTAATGGTTACTAACCATATAAGCAGAACAGATGACCACATGTTCATGTTACTCTTACTTCCTGGCCAACCTGCAAGGACAGCAAGGGTGCAGGGTCTACTCAAAACCTCCCAGACACCCATCTTTTGGCTCTTTATCTTTGGCATGAATCTCCACACCTGTATCAAGTATTCAGTTGCCCCTCCTTTGGGCCAGGCCTTAGGCTGGGTGTGGGGTTCACACAGAGGCCGCTCACCAGTCATGAGCTGCATGAAGGGAGGCAATTCTGACTGCCCACCTCAATCTCGACAGCTCCCCTTTCCTTGTGGTGCCAGGCCTGGGGGCCTGTGAGGAGGAGAGATGGGTCTGAGAAGGTGGGTGCCGGCAGAGGAGGCCTGCACTGCAGCTGGAGTTGGGAGCACAGTCAGGACTGAGGTGGAGGGCGTGGGCTTATCCGTGCAGCGTGGGGAAGTCTCACCCCAGGCCTAGCCCAGGCTGCTTTGTGAATGGAACTGCTGGATTCCGCTGGAGTATTAAAAAACCTAAATATTTATTTATTTATTTACAAAGGTGGGAAGGAGACAGAGGGAGACCCCAAGAACACCCCCACACCTGGCTGGCCAGGCCCCTTGCGCTGCAGAGGAGGCAGACACGGCTGGAAGGGACAGGATTTATGTTGCATACTTGAACTACAGCGAGTGTAAGACTGGTCCTATTTACAGGGCAGAAACACTACAGGTGGAGCGTGGGAGTGGCAGAGCGGGCACCAGAGTCCTGGCCAGAGGGTGCCCTTGCCTGCCGTCTTCCCCACCTCTCCCAGAGGCATCTCTGCGGCCCCGCTGGGGTTCTCCATGGGGGGACGGGGCCCGCTTACATGATGCTCGCCGGGGTGAAGACAGGGCCCACGCACAGGGTGTCCGTGATCTCCCAGCCACAGGACAGAGGCTTGCACACACCCTCGGCGTCCTCGTCCTGTTCTGCAGGCAGCAGCTGCCTTCGCAGCGCTTCCCTGGGGGTGAGAGAGGGGTGCTGTTGGCAGCCAGCACGGGTCCCAGAGGCCTGGGGTTCCTCACAGCCCCTGAACTGGCCCCATCAGGCACAGGGCTCTCACCTGAGCCTGAGCCCGAGCCCAGCTGAAGGCAGGGGCAGGGGCAGGCCTGCTGACCCCCTCCCTCATGGCTCCCTCCTCCCTTGTGGTCCCCATCCCCCGACAAGGAAAAGGAACCTACATTTATTGAGCACTTACTATGTGCCAGACATCCTGCTAGGCACTTTGCTTATATTATCTAATCGTATCCTCCCTGTAACCCTATGAGGGAGGCATTATCACCCCATCTCACTGATGAGCAAACTGACACTCAGAAGTGTCCCACCTATGATCACACTCCTAGTGAGTGGTAGAACTAGGATAGAACCCAACTCTCTCACTCCAAAGCTCACATTCTTCATACCCCAGGCCTAGGACTTCAAAAAAGTCATGTTCTGCCCCCTTGAACAGTCCCACAAACTGTTTCTCCTCCTACTTACCCATGTTGATAAATGGCTGCACCATCAGAGCAGCCGCTCTCACCACAGCTGGGAATCTTGTTCCCGCACCCAGTCAAGCCCTGCTGAGCCCAGCTCCTCACAGTGCCCACTCGTCTCCATTCCCACAGACACCACCATCTCTAGCCAGGACCGCTCGATCTCCCTGATGCACTCTTGCCCCTTCCAAACAGTTCTCAGCACTGGCCCAGGTTCATGTTTCCAAAGGGAAAATCCCTGCTCTTGAGCCACCAGCAGCTTCCCTCCACTCTCAGGCCCTGCGAGACCCCGCCCTGCCCACCTCTCCCACCACGCTCTCAGCTGCACTCACCAGCACCACCCTATACCAGCTGGGTGCCATCCACAGCGGCCGTCTTTCAGGCTCACACATGTCCCATCCCAGGCCTGTGCTTGTCTCTGCCTGTGTAATCAACCCTCGCCTAACTAATTCTTCCTCCGTCTTCAGGCCTCGACTTCAGTGACAATCTCAGGGAAGTCAGGACACAGCAGAGTCAAATGTGCAGTGTACCTCTCCTTGATAACAATAATGATTCAGTATCTGCACCTGAAGTTCCTTCAACCACAGCAGGGCAGGGAATATGTCTGAGCTCCTCACTGCTGTGCCCCACAGTAGGCCAGCTCCTGGGCTCAGTGGGAAGGGGGGACACTGGGCAAGAGGTTGGGGAAAGAGCACTGGGTCCAGTGTCCAGAGGCCTGGAGGGGCCATGCCAGCTTGTCCTTTACTTTTGGGGGGATCTGTTTCACCACAAGACCCTCCCTCTTCTATCCAGCTGCTCCCTGCATTCCTTCCATTGCTCCCATGTATTCCAGTCCCCCACCCTTCGCCTGCAGGAAAGCCCCCTCTTTGCTGCTGTGAACAATTCAACAGTAAATCAGTTGTCAGATCTTTATAGGGAGCCCAGCCGGGCTGGTCTCTTCCTGTGGGAGGCTCTCTGGGCCAAGCACCCTCTAGCTGAGCCTCTGTCTCCTTATCCTTAAAAATGGGTTGATCCAGTTTCTTAAAACACCTCAGTGCCTCCCACCTGCCTCAACTTCAAGTCCAATCTGGACGTCCAATATCCTTCTGGATCCAGTCTTCTCCACATGCCACTCCTTGCACATAGAGCTATTTGCAGTTCTTTGAATCAACCGGACTCTCCTCTCGGCCCGACCACTGTCCTCTCAGCTTGCTTGGCCCTCCTGTGCCTGGCTGACTCCTTGCTGGTGAGGCGGTACTTCCTGAGAAGCTGCCCTGACTGTCCCTCCCTCCCCAATGGCCTTTTCACTCTGCTGTGTGCACGTCTGCACCTGGGCCCACCAGGCTGTCTCCGATGCTCCTGTACCCATCAGGACCTTGCACAGAGCCAGACACTAAAGCAGAACATTTTCATGAGGCATCTTTGACATGGGAAATTTCCCAACATGTCCGTTTCTACACATCAGAATTTTTTGTTCCTAGGAATGAGAGCAGCTGACTCTGCAGCCTTATCCACCTGCGCTTGCTGATGAGGGAGCCAGGGATGGGAAGCCAAGGAAGTCTGCATGGAGATTGTTTTTTAAGTTTGTTTTTCAGGCCTTGTCAAAACACCTCTGATGGCAAAATGGCTACTTCAGCCTATCTGATGCCCCATCAAGTCTGGGGCTTGGTGACATTTTTCCTGGGGGCCCTCAAGCACCCAGCATGTCCCTCGGGACATGGGCTACACTCACTCCTCAGGGCCCAGCATAACATCCTTGCTTTCTGCAGCCCTCTCCTCTCCCGCAAAGAGGGCCCTTCACCACTGACCAGCTGTGTGACCCCAGAAGAGTGACCTCTTTGTTGGTGATAATACTGATCCCCACAGAGTTTTGTGTGGGTGAAAGGAAATAATCCTAAGATGCCTAGTGTAAAGTCTGATGTCAGGGTTCAACAAGTGTGACTCTCTCCCTGTCTTGCATACCTCTTGCCTAATTGGGTACCACCCCTAGCCTGGTGAGGCAGGCAGGGCTACTGTTACACCCATATTCTAGATGGGGAGACCAAGGCTCAGCAAGCGGACAGACCAAGTCTTTGCCAGAGCAGCCGCCTGACTGGTCAGCTCTGTCTGCATCTGCCTGTGTCCTCCCTTAATCCACACAGTAGCTAGGATGGTCTTTCCAAAGTGCAAATCAGACCATGTTACTCCCCTGCTCCAAACTGGTCCATGCTTCCCTCTGCTCTCCAAGTCCTTCACTTGGCCTTCAAGGCCTTCACAGATCCAGCCCTGCCTCCCTCTCCAGTCACGACCAACCTCCACGCATGCCTGGAACACAATCCATTGCTCTCTGTTCCTTCTGCCGGGAAGGCCCTGCCCACCCCTTCCTACCTCCTGTGTGCTGACTCGCACTTCCTCAAGAGCTGCTTATCAAATTGGATTACATGGAGGCAGAGTCTCAAATCTCAGGTTTCCCTCGTTGCTTCCACCCAGCTCTCCTCACCCCCACATTCCCAGCAAATCCCCCTTACCAGGCCAGCCGGGACATGGCATAGGTGATGCGGCAGGCCCGGGTTCTCCCGAGGAGGGAACCTGTGCCCACGGTGTAGGCGCCCATGTTGTCAAAGACCAGCCAGTCCCCTACTTGTAGTTGCGGCAGCCACAGGCCCTCAGCCACACAGTCACAGCCATCAGCCACCGGGCCCCACAGGCTGCTGCTGTATAGCGGCTGCTCTGTGGATGATTTCTGCAGGAAAAAGGAGTGGCCACGTCAGCTCTCCTGGGCATAACACAGCCTTAGTACTCCCTCCCTCAAAAGCCTTCCATGACTCCCATAGCCAATAGGATGAAAATTGATGGCCTCCTAGCCTAGTGTTTAAGGCCCTCCTCACTTCTCTGCATTTGTTGCCTCTTACACTCTGAAGCCACAGAGGTCTTAAATCCAGGTTCCAACACTTGCTAGCTGTGTGACCTTGGGCAAGATACTTTATCTGTCCATGCCTCCGCTTGCTCACATGTAAAGTGGGAGTAATAATAGTGCCTACCTCAGAGGGGTACTGAGAAAACAAATGAGTTAGTGTATGTAGAGCATTTAGAACAATGTCTGGCACATGGCAAGGGTCCAATAAGCTAACATTATCATTACTGTTATTGTGAGTATTGTTGTTACCGTCTCTGTGCTTCAGTCTTCACTGGCCACTTTCCAGACCTCAATGTGTCTGTACCTCCACAGTCCTTCCCCTACCCTCAAATCCAGCCTGTCTTCTGGGCCCAGCCTGGGGTTCCCCCTTCTGTGAAGGCCTCCCAGATGCCCTCATTCCACATCAGGCCCAGTAACAGGAGCCAAAAGTACACAGGTGGGTTAGACCCAGCCTCACTTGGGCTCTCAGCCTGGTGAGGAAGACAGGCCTCCAACGAACAGTCACTGGGTGGCCTGGCAGAGGTCACAGAGGACCCGTGGGGTGAACATGATTATTCCCATTTCAAGGAAACTGAGGCTCTGAGAGGTTAAGTGACTTGCCCAAGACACAGCTGCCAATGGCATAAATTTTTAAATTGTTTTCTTAGAGAACTGCAAATCCAGGAAAGAAATCTGTAACACAGACCATTTGTGGACAACAAGGTGGGTCCTGGAGGAGGAGTCACGACTGAAAGATGGATCCTGACTTGGCCCTTTGCAGCCCCTGCTTCCACCTGCCACTGCACTTGCTGTGTTCCAGTTACTCCAGTCGCCCTGGGCTCCCCCAGGTAAACCTACTTCCCTCCCCAATACTGTTCCCTGAGGCCCCAAATCTGCCAACTCCTATTTTTCCTTTGATCCAGCTAAAATGGCCCCAGGGAAGCCTTTTCTAAAGCTCCATGCTCCCCAACCTTTGCCTGCATAGCATTTGCTATAATTCATAATTGAATATTTGTGAACTACCTTCTCAGGCCTGTCTTCCCTGGCAGACTATAAATTCCTCGAGCCCAGGGGTCCTGTAGTCTTATTCGTCCCTATCTCCTCCTCCTAGTAGTTTGGCATATAGTAGGTGCTTATTTGAATAATATTTTTTAAAAGAAATGAATTAGGCCGGGCGCGGTGGCTCACGCCTGTAATCCTAGCACTCTGGGAGGCCGAGGTGGGCAGATTGTTTGAGCTCAGGAGTTCGAAACCAGCCTGAGCAAGAGCGAGACCTCGTCTCTACTAAAAATAGAAAGAAATTAATCAGACAACTAAAAATATATAGAAAAAATTAGCCAGGCATGGTGGCGCATGCCTGTAGTCCCAGCTACTCGGGAGGCTGAGGCAGAAGGATCGCTCGAGCCCAGGAGTGTGAGGTTGCTGTGAGCTAGGCTGACGCCACGGCACTCACTCCCGGGCAAAAGAGTGAGACTCTTTCTCAAAAAAAAAAAAAAAAAAATGGAACTGAATTAATGAATGGGATATACATGAGTGATGAGAAAGAGTAAGAAAGAAAAGAATATGACTAAAAAGCCAACCAACAAGCATAGAAGGAGGCCGTGAAGAAGACCAATGGAGGAAAAAGGGAAGGCATTTCAGTACCTTAGCCAGGGGCAGGAATGAATAAAATTGAAAAAGAAAAGTTACAGCTTCATAAGCAGAAATAATATTCATATATTTGACAAAAAATTAGTAAGCTATTAGTCCCATTAATAAAGAAAATATGCACAGGTTATTTAAATCAAGAGTGAGAACTATCCTATATTTATGAATTCATTCATTCGGTAGGTACTTATTGAGCACCTACTATGTGCCAGGCTCTTATCTAGGAGCTGGAGATGCAGCAGTGAACCACACAAGAAACAAAGTTCCTGTGCTCATAATGTTCATGTTCTTAGGAAGGGGAGACAAATAAATATATGCTTGTTCATATAACTTAACATTCTTGTTCACAAGCTTTTTGTTAATGAATGCAATTAATTTCAATCACTCCGAATTATTTCTCTTAACCCCAATCATTAAAAAACTAACTTTTTAAGATGGGGTGGGGGAGGTGCTCTATGAATGTAGCCACAGGGATCTTTGAGAAAAGTTTTAAAGTTCATCCATAGTAAAGAGAAAAGGCACCCTTGGGTTATAAAAAGTTAGCATTCTCTCACTTCTTATTAGTGGTGTAAATAAAAAATAGATGGAAAAAAGATTTTAAAACTTCACAGGAAATAATGCAAAGCTACTCTTTTACTTAAAAAAAAAACAAAAAACAGACATCTGCAAAATATTCCCAATGCACGTGGCGACAAGCTTGTAAATCTCAACTCTGTTTACAAGTCTGATAACTGAGTGGAAATGGACAAGCATCTGTAAAAATTCGAGATGCCCAGTCTGCCAGCCACTAGACCCCTCTGTGAGAGAGGGCAGGGGGTTCCTATTCTACAAAGCATTCCACCACTACTTCACATCTCGTCTGGGAGGCAGGTGGCACAGCTGCAATTCCCATTTTACAGATGAGAAAACTCAGAGAGGGAAGGGGACCTGCCCCAGGTTCCGGAGGGAGTTGGTATTGGAACTCTGAGCAGTTCCAGACAAGGGGTCTCTGGGCTGCACCCGGCTGCCTTCCTAAAAGAGGCCCAATATGTGAGCAGATGCACAAGAGAAATAAAATCAAACATTGAAAAAGGCACATGGCCCTGGTGAAGTTCCTAAATAATTCCCCAACTTTTAAAGAATAAATTCCTATACTACATAAAGTGTACAAAAATATTTTAAAAGAAAAAATTAAATTAACAAGGGCAATACTCAAAAAGAGGGGAAAAAACCCTCAAAATCTCACTTGTAAACATACAGCAAAAATCTGACATGAAATCTTAGCTAACCAAATCCATACTCGTATTCAAAGAATCATCTTCAATGATTAGATAATTTATCTATAAAATGAAAGGCAGAGATAACAGGAACAAAGTCAATCACTGGCTTCATAATATGTAAAATATGGATCTACAATTCAAATTTAATTTTCCCAGTGTATGTCAACATGGCATTCAATAGCCTGTAGCATCTACTCTTGATTAAAACTACTGACAAAACAAAATTGCAGTGGAGAGAGACTAAGGAGCCAACTCTAACTTCATGGGGATACACTAGAATGACCTCATTTCAGAACCAAAAGCAATCTTATTCATTAAAATTAAGCCCCTTCATTTTCCAAATGGAGAAGCTAGAAAAATAAAGCTCAGAGATTAAGTCGTGGGGTGATATCTCACTGTGGTTTTAATTTGCATTTCCCTGATGATTAGTGATATTAAGCATCTTTTTCATATATGTGTTGGCTATTTGTATGTCTTCTTTGGAGAAATGTCTATTCAGGGTCCTTTGCCCATTTTTAGTTCGATTATTTGTTTTCTTGCTATTGAGTTGTTTGAGTTCCTTATATATTTTGGATATTAACACTTTATCAGATGTATGGTTTGCAAATATTTTCTCCTATTCCATAGGTTGTCTCTTCATTCTGTTGATTGTTTCCTTTGCTATGTAGAAGCTTTTTAGTTTAATGCAATCCCATTTGTCTATTTTTGTTTGTTATATGTGCTTCCCCCCAACCCTGAGACAGAATCTTGCTCTGTTATGCAGGCTGGAATACAGTGGCATGATCATAGCTCATTGCAGCCTTCAACTCCTGAGCTCAAATAATCTTCCTGCCTCAGCTTCCCAAATAGCCACCATACCTGGATAATTTTTGTATTTTTTTTTTTTTTATAAAGATGGAATCTTGCTATGTCACCCAGGATGGTCTCAAACTCCTGGCCTCAAGCAATCATCCCACTTTGGCCTCCCAAAGTGCTGGGATTATAGGCGACTGGTTTTACAGTTTCAGGTCTTATTATTATGTCTTTAATCCATTTTGAATTGACTTTTGTATATGGTGTGAGATAAGGGTCCAATTTTATTCTTCTGTGCATGGATACTCAGTTTTCCCAGCACAATTTATTGAAGAGACTGTCCTTTCCTTATTATGTGTCCTTGGCACCTTTGTTAAAGACCAATTGACCATAAATACATGGATTTATTTCTGGGCTTTCTATACTGTTCCATTGGTCTATACGTCTGTTTTTATGCCAAGTACCATGCTGTTTCGATTACTATAGTTTTGTAGTATATATTTTGAAATCAGATAGTATGATGCCTCCAGCTTTCTTCTTTTTGCCCAAGATTGCTTTAGTTATTCAGGGTCTTTTGTGGTTCTATATAAATTTTAGGATTGTTTTTTATATTTCTGTGAAAATTATCATTGGAATTTTGATAGGGACTACATTCACTCTGTAGCTTTCTTTGGGTTTAGTATGGACATTTTAACAATATTAATTCTTCTAATCCATAAACACAGGATATCTTTCCATTTATTTTATTTCTTTTATTCATGTTTTATAGTTTTCAGCATACAGATCTTTCACCTCCCTTAGTTAAATTTCCTAAGTACTTTAATTTTTTGATGCCATTGTAAATGGGATTTTTTTCTTGATTTCTTTTTCAGATAATTAGTGTACAGGAGCATTGTATGTTAATTCTATGTTTTCCAATTTTGCTGAATTCGTTTATTAATTCTAATAGTTTTTAATGGAGTCTTTAGGGTTTCCTATATATAAGATAATGTCAGCTGCAAACAGAGACAATTTTATGTCTTCCTTTCCAATTTGGATGCCTTTTATATCTTTTTTTGGCCGAACTTCTCTGGCTAGGACTTCCAGTACTATATTAACTACATGTGGTAAGAGTGAGCATCTTTGTCTTGTTCCTGATATTAGGCTCCTCGTTGAGTATGACGTCAGCTATGGGCTTGTCATATATGGCCTTTATTATGTTGAGGCACATTCCTTCCATTCCTAATTTGTTGAGAGTTTTTATTGTGAAAGGATGCCGCATTTTGTGTCAATTGCTTTTTCTGCATCTATTGAGATGATCATATTTTTTTTCTTCATTCTGTTAATGCAGTATATCACATTTATTGATTTGCAAATGTTGAAATACCCTTGCATCCCAGGGATAAATCCCACTTGATCATGGTGTGTGATTCTTTTAATGTGCTGTTAAATTTGGTTTGCTAGTATTGTGTTGAAAATTTTTATATCTGTGTTCATCAGGGATATTGGCCTGTAATTTTCCTTTTTAGTGGTGTCCTTGTCTGTCTTTGGGATCAAGGTAAAGCTGGCCTAGTAAAATAAGTATGGAAGTGTTCTCTTCAGTTTTTTGGAAGAGTTTGAGAAGAACTGACATCAGTTTTTCTTGACAGGTTTAGTAGAATTCACCAATGACGCCATCAGGTCCTGGGCTTTTTCTTGGGAGGATTTTCTCTTTGTTGTTGTTGTTGTTGTTGTTGTTGTTGTTGTTGTTGTTGTTGTTGAGACAGGGTCTCACTCTGTTGCCCGAGCTGAGTGCAGTGTTAGCATCATAGATCATTGCAACCCCAAACTCCTGAGCTCAAGTGATCCTGCATCAGCCTCCTGAGTAGCTGGAACTACAGGGACATGCCATCACACCTGGCTAATTTTTTATTTTTTTGTAGAGACAGGGTCTCACTGTGTTGCCCAGGCTGGTCTTGAACTCCTAGCCTTAACCAGTCATCCCACCTGGCCTTCCAAAGTGCTAGGATTACAGGCATGAGCCACCACACCTGGCCCTAATTGGGAGGATTTGATTACTGATTCAATCTCCTTATTCATTACTGGTCTCTTCAGATTTTATACTTCATCATGATTCAGTCTTGAGAGCTAACTTCAGTCTTGGTATGTCTCTAGGAATTTATCCGTTTTGT